CGCGATTTATACATGTTCTTGGGCGAATGATAGGTAATAAAGCCAATGTGGCTACTAAAATTAATCGATACTCGTCAACTTTTTATTTTTGAATACTCAATTACACCAGCTTTATATCTCAATTTTTGTAACGATGTAATTTAGAAAATATCTCAATTAATCTTAACATAATTAACCACTACTTATGGTAAATTACGTGGGGCTCCAAACCCAAATTGCAGCTTGAGCACATGACTCCCGCGTCGATCAGGACGCAACTTGGGTGGTAGAAGTCAGGTTTCCAAAATTTATAGAAGTCAGTTTTCAATTTATTATTTTTGTTTCAAAAATGTACAAACTTATACACATATAGGTAGTGGCTTAATCAAGTATCAGTAGAAATCAAAAATTTCAATTAATAAATAAATCAGTGTAATATAGTTTAATATATAAAAAGGAGATATTCAAACATTTTGGAACCTGTAACAGACTTTATGCTTTTATGGAGTCTATTTTTGGTCTAATACCAAGGCAAAAATAAGAGAAAAGATGATAAAGTGTCCAACTATCGACTAGATAGGTGTATGTCCTCTTTGTTTTTTTTAAAAGAACAATAACTTTGAATAAGATTTGAAACAAAAAGCAAAAATATATCATGGCGTTAGACGATATGGCGGCATAAAAAATTTAAGCTTGATTTATTTAATAACCACTAAATTAAGTATGACCAATTTTTTATTGCCGTATAAGCAATATTTCCCCATTTTCTATTAATCGACTTCAAAATCGTAATAGGTTGTTAGTTATATATTCGACGGCGATGTGTGTTTTTTATGTAAGTTAAACGATGTTTCTGCCAAAAGTTGATCGATTTAAAAAATATTTTTTAGTTCGACAGCTTAATGGGCCAAGGTCCCATTTAAATTTGATTGAAATAGAATCAGTAGTTTTCTTATTATGACGAAACAAAATATGCTTTTCATCAGATATCGCCTAAATATTTTGTAGACATGTTTACCTATATCAGGCAAAAAACAAAAAACTGCCTATTTTGAATTCATTCAAAATCCGAAAGGAAGATTTCTTATTGAATGGTGAACCAATTTCTATCAAATAAACTGTTGCCTCGACTTTGCCTACGTAAATTTTTGCCTCTTTCCCCCGCTTATTATCGTAGCTTCCCGCAGATGAAAGAATTTTAAAATCGGTCCAATAGCCTATCTAATGCAAACAAACGAGCAATCAAATCTTTCTTGTTTAAACAACTAATCAAAATTTACTTTCACTTGTCTACTTTTCTATATAAATATTTAATACTTTTAGTGTTACCTATTATAATTGAAAAATAATAATATCACTAAAAATCATAACAAAACTTTTTTTTTTAAATAGAACAAAGATCAAATTTTTCAATAATGTCTATCACTTAATTTTTAATAACCTACAGAAAACTGCCGCCCGACTTCGATAGCAGTTTCTTGAATAAGTCGCTTTAAAGATAAGTATTAATTATCACTTTTTAAAAGTTTGAATTCGGTTTTATTGTTTGAAAAAAGTTTTTACAAGATAAATACTTTGCATACGAACATAACATAGACCATTTTGGGACAACTTTGAAATATGAACAATTTTGAGGTAGTTCTTCAAAAAAAAACGGCATCCTTGTTATCATCATTAAAGTGTTTTTAATTTTAAGATTGTTGAATAGCTTGTAGTTAGTTTGGAGAATAGCCAGTAATTAACAATCTTCACCTTATTTTAGTTAAAAACTTTAAAAAAATTGTTGTATATTTTTTTAAATAACAGGAAAAAATATGGTTTTTCAAAATATAACCTACTGTTACGAGAACCCTCGGTGCGCGAATTTCCTGTATAAAAAGTAAAATCTGTAACATCCATCTCGATAATTAAGTTTATTACCTTTATAATTGATGAAAACTCATTTTTTTAATATAAAGAATTACTATGTAATCGTCACACGTGCAAAAATAATTTATGAGAGAAAAAAAAATGAACCGTTTAGGGCCACCTGCGTGTGCTCAAGCAAAAAAACATCTAAAATAATAACTGAAAATCTTCGCTCCGTGTTGGTGCAACGCACGCGGCCAACAGTGATTGTGGCAAATTATTTGAGCCCGCGCAATAATTCTTCTATAGCCCGGCATCAGCGGCGCGACAGTGTAAACACAGTTGTAATCAAACCTTCATCGATGAAGCGGTTCGACCGCACATTGAGATACAATTAATTGATTACTTTTGATGGCTTCATTCGATCTAAAAACTTACCCTACCTTTTTAGTAGCGCAACCTTTTTAACAATACAATTACTTACTGCTTGGGCAACAAAAAGCCAATCTACGTTCGGGTAACCTACTCCCGACGCCCACCCAGGCTTATTATTACAATGATATGTCAAAATAAAAATTGTTTTCAGTCGACAAAAAATCTTTGATTAACAAACTATCTACAAAATTTTACCTTATTACCCGTACACCTTATTACAATTTGTTTTTGTCAACAATAAAATAGCTATGTTAGCAAAACATTCTAACAATAACTAAAAAAAACCTGTAAAATCCACGTCATTAGAAAATACATATAATCTTTAGTTATTTATATATGACACTAATAATATTTTAAAAATAAAAAGCTTTGGTATTCGATTTTAATTTACTTTTAAGTTAATCTATTAATTCAGAGCAAAGCACGAGGAACCACATTCCATACAGGCGTTGAGCGACAAAATTAGCATCACACCGTGAGCGCAGATTAATTACGCTCCAGTGAATCATAATAATTGATTACAACAACCCTAACATAATGAAAACTTAATGTCCGTTATATTCAAAAGTACAAAATCAATAGACCAGCTAAGGAGTTTATTTTATAATTGGCTAAATTACACTCTTTAATCAATTAGACTTGTATATTGTCGTGATTTTTATTGGACGTTGTACGAGTGTTTTGCCTTGACCGCCAAGTTCCAGTGTTTTGCTCAGAGTGCCAAATTCATTGATCCAGCGCCGTAGCAGACGTATAAAAATTAGATAATATGTTTTTTGCACCAACTATTGTAGTAGGTACCATTTTTAGTAACGCTTGGACCCGCGTAGTGGGTCATGCATGGCCCATTCTTCCTATTCGATTCTATTCCATCCATAGCGAAGGCCTTTGCTACAGAAGTAGGGACATTATATGCTGATGATGATTACGTCTATATAATATTGATATTCATACTTATTTTTAAAATCGGAACAGAAATTTATTGTCTGTGGTTATATACATGTTAAGCTTAAAGCTACTGGCCGAGTTGAAAGGGATATTCTCATTATAGGTCCAGATTTTGTGAATTGGGATGTCTAAAGCCAAACGTAAAAGTTTATAGTTTTCGAATCCGAATAAGCTCTGTGTTCAGACACCGTTTTTCTTATGATATATCACTGGAACTTATCTGTTTCTTGTTCATACTGATTGATTCATACTGTCATTATAAATCATAATTTTATTGCACATCATACTTTATTATTATAGAATAACTTAGTACCAGTTTCCTCTAAAATATAATTTATTTCAATGGACATCATCATCATCATCTCCAGCCTATTGGTGTTCCCACTGCTGGGGCTTAGACCTTCCCTATGGATGGAATCAAATCGAATAGGGCGAATGGGCCATGCCCCACTACGCGGCGGACCTAGTGCGGATTGGTGGGTTATAACTACTGCAGATGCAATAGGGACCGACGGCTTAACGCGCCTTTCAAAAAACACTGGAGTTCTAGATAGTTAATTTTTGGTCACCCGTCCTATGATTGGCCATTACGAATGTTGCTTTTGAACCGTATCGCAGATCGAGAGTGCTAACCACTACGACGTCAAGCAAAATTTCAAAGGTAACTATGTAGAATGAAACAATGAATTACTTTATATTTTTTATTTATATTTCAAATTAATGGCATAGGTTTTTCTTTTAGGTACATCATCTTATATTATGACCTTATTTTAATCTTAAATAGTATCACGTAACTTGTTTCCGTCAAGGATAATAAGGCTATTTAACTTAAATAAACCACGATGTTTACAAAAGTGGACATTTTTGTGTTAAATTATAAATGAAAAGATATTATCATAAAAAAATATTATGGAAGACACACATTCAGAATTAAATATAATAATATATTTGTTTTAATTACTGTTTTATAAAGGTAACTTGCGAAGGAAGACTATTATTAACTACTGGATTTGTTTACGGTAACAATCACTTTATTGAGTTTACGATAAAAAAATATGTAAAAAAACGTTCATTCAAGTTGAAATTGGCAAAATTAACAGACACTAATATGTTTCATTGTTTAAACTCAGTATTTAATTAATTTTCTATTACTAAATACATATCATTATTAAATAACAGAGTAACTACAATAAATTAACATGGAAGACTGCACGATTTTGCTGTAAGGCACAATGAATTCAATCAATGCGTTAATTCTGATTTAAATTATTTATATTTAGATATTGTTAAGACGTTTAATATATTTATACTGGCCATTATCTATTATTCTATTTACATTATGTGTAGATTAATGATGATAGAAATAACTAAATACATGGCACTAAGTCCTAAAAATAATAACTATTTTACTCATTATAGGACATAGTCCTTAAATTCGTATATACATTCATGAAATACTGCCTCAGATGTCAACCCAAAATTTACACAAAATTAATCTAAGCTGATATTAAGTACGTACAAAACACATGAAATTAAATAAAGGGGTCTTCTGATTATTTAAACGAAAATAGACTAATCACTTAACTAGATGTCGGTATCGATTTCGTTGCAAATTATTAAAATTGAGTGTAGTTATGGCTCAGTTACACTGGTCCAGATTAAGCCCACGCCCACGCCCACGAAATGCGGCAATCTCTGCATCTCATTGACCAATAAAACAATGACCATATAATGAAAGCGAAGCGAGCTAAATAAATCGCTCGCACCCCGCACTCGGACGTCATCGAGCAATGTAACCGAGCCATTATACCTTATCTTTCTGGCACTAATTTCTTCAAAGCATTTTCGTGTCAAATTACATTACATTAATTTATAGCAAGAAGCCCTTCGTTAATAAAATTTCCTAATTTGCCGGACTCTATTTTATTTTTCTTCATACTGATTACTCTTATTATACATATTTAAAAAAAACACAAAAACTCGTGACTCTCCAACTAACGGAGTTCAATTTTTATTTATTTACCATATATATACAGAAAGCTAGTAGTAGAAAGTACGGGAAGTATCCAATTATTGTGTTAAAACTATTAAATCAAATATAGATACTGGTATAATTTAATTAAAAATACGTTTCAATACATAATTTGCAACAAAAACAATACCATTGTAGTTGTATATCACACGAATATTACTGACCAAACATATAACAAGACCGCAAAAATGAACTTTATAAAACCTTATTTACCATTACATTTTCGTATACATTAAATTAGTTGTAAAACATATTACACATTCACACATAGGAACTTCGAAAATTCTCACATAAGCTTATTAACACACGCAATTATAATAAAATTATATCACAGACTGCCATCTAAGGAATGGAGTGCAAAGTTTAACATCAAACCAGACGATAATAAATCCATTTGATATTTAAATCTATTCTACTTTGTAGAAAAGTGTGTCACCAAGGTCTCCACGGTTTCTCTTCAGCTGGTTGTCTTCTGGTAACTAAAGCAAGAGGAACGGGTTCATCCACCGAAGGCGGAGGACTACCCCAACCGGAACTAGCGGGGGAGTAACATCGTGGTTCTGATGAGGAAGAGGATGACCCGTCTCTCGGAGATAGAGGGACTAAGGTAGGAACAGTACCCAAAGTGCTGGCGCTAACACCAGATGGTAAAACTAACGCTATATCTCCGTTTGAGAGTCTAGTCGGTACTAAGCGCACTCCAGATCCTGGACCAGCTGCAAAAGAAAATTTAGAATAAGTCTAGATTCAGAAAAAATAAAGAATAGATTTTTGGAGAGTTTTGTCATTACAAAGCTATATTACTATTTTTTTAAACTACTTTGTTTACTATCAATTGCTTACTACAAAACAATAAGTAATTAATATAAATTTCTAGTTGAAACCCAAGATTGCAAAACTAACATTTAAATAATGATCACAAATTTAGATAATTTTCATAGAGCAAGTTTTTTAAGCTTGTATGTACAAACCTGATATAAAAATTGTAGAATGTTGAGCAAGATTCGCATCCTCCGCGTCAGACGGTGGAGTGGGCGCTCCCGTCGGTCTCGCATTGGTTGTAGAGACGCAACCTTCAAGGTGTCTAACGAGTCGTCTCTTCAAACCAGCGTCAAGACCTTGAAACTTCGCCACTTCAGCCAAACAGTGCTGATAACCCGCGTGGAACCGGTCGGGGGATCCATTATTTTCTGATCGCAGTCCTTCTAAATGCTTCACGGTCATCTCTAATATATCTGCTTTTTCTAACTTTGAATGTCTGGCTGGCTGCAATAAATATATATTATTAAATTCATGGATTCATAAGTTTTATTTCATTAATCAGAAAATCTTTCTGACAAAATCTAATCAGAGGATCCAACCCTGAACCTCTTTAAAGTATCTCTGTTATGTCAGTTCTCAGTCGTGTTCGTAATCAGTAGCATAAAAATTTTGAAACAAAAAATACTCTGCCTATTCTTATCTGTAAAACAAAAACAAATTGACTCGCATCCTTAAAACACTGTACTCATTTAATGCAGCGTTTATACGATCATCTCAAAAACTTTTTATTTGCTGTTTTTATAATGACTTTGACGTCGTTAAGTGAATTTATAGCGTTGTATATTAACTTACGTCTTTTTTCATGGCGTCGAGTATCAGCGCCTTTAGTTCGTTCAGGCAATTGTTGATACGGGCCCGCCGTCGTTTTTCCATAATTGGCTTGTTGCTCTGTAACAAATGAACCTCGTATTATCTACGGAAACTGCCTGAATATAAAATTTAACAAGAAAATGTCTATAATAAGAAGTTGCAGAAAATTATGAAACAATATAAGGAGGCATCTAAAGCAGCAAGGTATATGTTTTGCATTGTCTGACCTATAAAATGCTTTAAGTATGGCTCGTATCAATAAACTTTGTTTAAGTGGCTGGATTCTTCGGTAATAATTTTGCGTAGAGTTATGTTTACTGCGGAATATTTATTGTTGGCAAAAGTTTACCGTGAAATGTTTATGAAGATTATTGTAAATCTTTATTTAATTTTACTACCTATATAGCAATAACGAAGTTTTTCATCGCTAATTCTGTTATAATCTTAACGCAATTTTAAATACTATCGAATTGATTTTTGACGGCTTTTTCCAATGCAAAGTGCAGTTCATGAAGATGTTTTAAATGATGGTTTGATTTGACTATGAACATTTATGATGGCGAAAAAATTCTGTAGACACAGTGTAAATATAAGTATACAGTGGTGAAACTGCCTACAAGCGTTCGAAATCGCACGCACACATAAACACGCTCACCGACGAGCCGCCTAAGTGGACCTAACAGGACGCTCAGTAACGCGTAGCGCGTCGAGATGAGGGGTCACGTTATACGTTCCGCGATCGTTTTTATTTAAAAAATGAAGGAAAGATTAAGGAAAGGAGTAGGCTTATATGAAATAAAAAATAAGATTTTTGTATGATCTGGAAATATATTTTAACCGCCCAGTTTTCGCATATGTTATTTCTATATCATGTGGTGATAATAGAATAATATAAGTAGATATCACCGTCTGAACAAATGTGTATGTATATTGTTTGTTTGTTAATTAGTTATTACAATTCGATTGATTGATAATGTCAGAACTCCTTTTATATTTTGTAAAAGAAACATTCAAAACGACAACCCTATGGTTTCAATGGAGTGTAGGTATTTATTTTATCAAATAGGCTTAGTTTCTATACTGTGTCATTCTTATACTGTGCTGTAGATCAAGTAAAAACATGAGCTGAACCAATAAGGTTTAATAAAAAAAATCACATGTCGCTATTAGTTAAAGAGATCTTAAATAATTGAGACATGAAAACCTTTCATGAACTGCACAATAGTAGTTATCTGTATAGCTGGCGTCAAACAAAACGCGTGACAAAAAGGGACATTAATCTCTGGTTACGCGCGGCGTGCGTTTGCTCAAGGTGAAGGTCGCACCGTGATTGGAGCGAACGTCACGCGCACGACACCACGTGACTCACACTAGGGCTGACACAATTCAAATATAAATAAATTGATTGACTAACAGATGTTGCTAACCTTTTTAACCCTGTAACTTATTAGGAAATCTAATATTACCGATTATCTAAACCCCTTAAAGCGGAGTTTACCTAATTGGAGGAAATATATATCTAGTTAATATCATGGCATCTAGATGCGCCCATGATATTAACATTTTATTTCCGCTTAAAGCACGTCTTAAATCATATTTCATATTAAGACGGTTTTATTGTACTTTTATTAAAAGTCTAAATTGTTGGGCTCTTTGTAATCACCCCAACTTGGGAAGCACTGGACTAAATATTTTAGTAATTGTCATTTACATTACCAAATCAATTCAAACAATGCTAATGTAATTTATTATTATTTCATATCACGCTTATCGGAGAACCATACAAAAAGAAATAAGTATTTCTAAGTACATTGGCTCGTACAATATCAATAGTTCTTGGTTCTATCATAATCCTACTAGTATTATAAATAAGAAATTTATTTCGAGTTTGTTTCTCTAAAAACTTCTGAACCAAATTTTTCTAACCGAAACTGTTTTTTACAGAAATTGCATCATAAAATGTGATGATTCTAATCTCACTGTAAGACTTTTTTTATCTATTTGTATGAACGGCATTTATATACGGGCAGTTTGCTCGCAACCCTGATTACGTAGAATCATAGTTGATTTTTCATTATCACAATGAGTACGCGTCTCGCGCCGCATCACCGCACGCTGTACCTACGGTAGTGCCACCACCACCGCCGACTACGCCATTGAAAATAATTAGCAAACAAACAAACACTGCTTAACGCGAATGGATCACATCCCAGATAAAGTTCTAAGGTCGGACGGAAACCATTGTTTTTAAATTTAAATGCAGTGTCACTTTTATAAAAACAAAAAAAATGTAAGAAGGTCTCATTACCGAAAAATAAAATCTTTTTTTGGAACTCTTTACAAGAAGAATACTTTTAGACTTGCGAAATTTTTTGGTAGTTATAATTACAAAGTAGTCAATCTAATAAACATAAAAAAATATCTGTACACAGCATAAAAAATTCGCATCTTGCTGTATGTTGAGATGTTATAAACTACACAGAGTGATTCTAGAGGAAGGTTTATATGTAATACAGGACTTCGCGGGTGAAGCCGCTAGCAGAAAACAAGTAATAAATAAAAAGCAATTAATAGTGAACACGTGCACGTGTCATAACAATGTTTGCGGTTTTTACCACTGGTCTCATCAAAACAAATAGTTACATCGCAAATCAAATACACAGTTGACAAAATTAAGAACTATTCAAAGAAACTGTAAGTTGGGTTTTATAAGTCGAGATAAGATAGAAAACTAAAACGTGTGATAATATTTTGTACGTTGCTGCGTTATAGTATCAATAATTTTAACGCTTGTAATTTTTTGCATATGTGTAGATCAATTTTTGATTTCCATACTGCACCACAGCTCCCATATGGACCAAGAAGAGTAAATATCAAAGTCCGCAGACGCAGCCCAACGTGCCGTCAACACAGGCGTCATTTTACTAAATCTTGGTTAAATTTATTCAAATTCAGAAAATTCATAAATCTTTTAAAACAACGGAAACGAGTAAAAATAGTCAAATGTAATTATTTATCTTAAATCTGAATAGCATAATTTTTTTGTAAGTTATCTACAAAAACAAGAACCAGAGCTTTATCTGCTAATATTCAAGAGATTTTCCGAATTGAACAATCTCAGATGACGCACTTAAAATAATAGAAATGATTATTATTATTTAATTATTATTATTTCTATTATCTTATTATTTAATTTTAAGTATATTAGTACTTACATATTTTAAACTATATATATTAGTACTTACATACTGGTGAAAATATATGAAAAATTCTTTAGAAATAAAAATCATTAATAGGTTTTTATTTTTTCTCATCTAATTACTGACGGAAATTTGAAAATTTGTTTTCGATCACAATCATAGACTGAACGAACACACTAGTACACTGGATGCATCGAGCTTTTCAGACTTTATTAATATCATAAAGAGGTACATTTTCTTTAGTTATTTATAGAAGGTAATCTTGGGAAATACTGATTCGATAATGAAAATCATTTCACCTACGGGTAGCTACATCATACGCAAATGACATAGGCTATTTTGCAACTAGTGTATTAATATTAAACCTAAAAACATACAGTTGGTAACACGGCCTTTGCAGTAGCATTTGAACGTGACGGTTACGTAATGCTGGCGACTCATGCGAGGCGCATTTAGCTTGAGGCGCCGCGACACGTGCCGTCAAACGTAATACGAAACTCAATTAAACCTATTATTACTTCGAAACTCTAATGTTAGCGCTTCCATAATGAGCTGTGATCTATCTATCGTGTACAAAAACGATCATGCTTGATATCCACGAGATACACGTGACGTGACGATCAAGAAACACGTAAACATGAAAGTATAATAAGTGTTATATTAACATTATTTTCTTTTAGACTTTTAGTCTTTTTTTTAAACAACAGATAGATCACAGTTCATTACATTATTTATAAATGATATTTTTCTGCATTAATTCCATTGAAGAAACTATGGTTAGTATATTTTGCCAAGTTCCATTATTTTACCAGAATAACATATTTTTACTTATTGACATTTGTTATTAAAATTTTGATGTTGCTATAAAAATAATGAAGAATCATGGTATAAGTATTGTTTACATTATACTAAAATAAACAAAAATGTTTAATTCGAACACAGATCACTATATTTTCAATTTAATAACCCTGTCCGTAGCATTTAACTTCGATTGTAAATGTTCCGACATACGCTCTTTAGTTGACGGCTATTTTTCGCAGTCTGGCGCGCGACCAGCAGATGTAGCATACATCACTATTTTTATAGACGTCTTGTAACATATACATCGACACCCAACGACCCAGACGGGCGACTGTCCCACCCGTTACGCAAAATGTTCATTCATATTTTATATATGTATGCTCTATTATTGGGCTTAATGTGGTTAGAAAACGTTTAATATATTCTTGCAGTCTAGATAACTAACAGCCAGTTACACCAACGTCCATTAATATTGTCATTCGTTTAAAGTGACATTACCCATATAAATTTGACGGCCATTAGAGCTGAAAGACGTCGTTAAACCTTAATGGATGTTTGTGCAACTGACCGTAATACAGTGTATTTCTTCTTAAGTTCAAAAAATGTTAACAGAACACAAGAAATATTTAGGTACTATACAATTTGTTATAGTTGTCACAAACTAATGACATGCCACTTCTCGTGACATATTTCCTAAACTACATTGCTTTCTAAACGTTACTGGTGGATAACTTATAAGCTATATGCATTTATCTAAGATACATGGGTATAATCATTATGTAATAATGTTATCATATGATTAATTATGACGTAAACGTTAACATTGCGCCTAATTACAGCAGACCAAGAAATATGTGAACACGCAATAGGTCGTAGAGGCGCGTCGCGTCGGGCGCATCGAGACATTTCAGAGTTGGCAGCCCCTCTGTACCGGCGGGCGGGCTACGGCGCGACGCGTGCCAACAGACGGCCGGCAATGCGTGGGAGCAAACACCATCTCGGCTTCCGGCACGCGCGCCACACTTGGCGTTACCACGTGTAACACGACAATCGTAGATACTCTTTGCTATAAGCGAATACGCGCACCCCTCTTTTGCTAACTCATTCGAGTCTTCTTTGATGAAACAATTTCTAGTTACAAGTATGTACATACATGCTCGAACTTTTATTCACTTTAAATAATTCTAGACTGTAGTGCAAGTGATGAGCAGTTATCACTTCATGAGTATAATTCAAAATCTCACCAATACCAAGAACCAGGTGCTAACACCAGACATTATCTTTCTCTTTGCGTATGTATTGTATTGTTTAATATGTATTGTGAACCGAAAACTATCTGGATAACTTTTCCTAATATGATAATTAGGTAATACTTGTCAACGTTATACAAGAAGTTATTATTACCTTCCCCATCTGTAGGTAGGCGATGTTATCGATTTGTAGGTGTCACGAACCTTCAATCTAAAGTAGGTTCGTGGAAAAAAAAGTAGTAGACAATGCCCATTCGGCGAGTGGAGGTGGCGATAACATCGTGTTATCGCCGGTGCCTCGCTTGTGGATCGCGTGGGAGCAACACGCGACCCGCTAAACTCAAAGCGATCTTATCATGCGATGATGGATAGCCTGCTAGCTAAAAGCTTCCTTTAGATAGACTACTGTAATATTCCTATTGAAACGACAAATAAACAAAAGCAAGTGGTACCGGTAATAGATCAAATCGATTCAAAATTCTTTCGATGGATAGTTACAGCAAAACGTAAACATCTCTAATATTAGCGATGTAATTTCTTAAAAATATTGTATTGTTTTTGTTTGTTTTGCTAGTGTACGCATGCTTTGCCAATGTGAACGTGCGAATAATATAAGTTTCTAATGTCATTGGAGCAAATTTTTAAAAATATACGTTTAGGGTTCCGTACCTCTAAAGGAAAAACGGAGCCCTTATAAAATAACCCTTATGGCTTCTTGTAGTTTATTTAATAGCTATGTATCTGTTCAAGCCTGTCGGTCTTTGTTATCTCTAGTTGGTCTTCCTAAAATAAAAATAAATAAATAATAATAATCACTTTGTAGTCCGTTCATCCGTCCGTCTTTCAAGATTCTTTTTCTCAAGAACGCGTGAAAGTATCGAGCTGGAATTTATATCAAATACTCAGGTCTACTGTCCGTTGCAGCTGTGGAAAACTCAAACTTCAAAAGATACAGCCGTTGACGCCGCAAACTTCCGTATTATTTTCGAAACTCGCAAGGGAATCAAAACCTACATGGTATTTCCCGTGAACTCAGAATCTTGAAATTTGGAATGAAGCAACGTCTTTATAGCACAGAAAGATTGCGAAGACCGGACTCTCGACGGCTCGCGCTCGGCCGTTTTTTTTCGTTTGTTTTGCTGCTGTATGTAGGTATATTGTTTTGCCAATGTGAAGGCGAGAATCAAAATATTATTGCATTGGCGCTGGGCGGTCGTCGGCTGGCGAGCGGCAGCGTGGTGCGTTCCCACGACAATTAGCCGAGGGCGTTGGGCGCCCACGCCGTACCGCCGCCCACACCACCACCAACTGACTCACGCCGCCTTACGTGCCGACACTCGTGTTTTTGTTAGGGCTGCCTACTGTGTTAATTATATCTAATCATATTCTAATTTGGGCTTAATGATATATATCTTCAATCTATCTATGTCTTAACGCCATCAAATCTGCTAATGTTAGCGTCATAATGGCGTCTCAATTAATTGCGTTTTGCCATTTTTCTAACTACATGAACTTCAATATTATCAGTGTTAGGTATTTAAATCAATAATGATAGATATGTTAATATTATTTTGTGATGCAGTAACAAGAACTGTGTCAAAAAAACATGTTATTGAAACGCCATTGACTCGCAATAATTACGATAACATTAAATTAGATCCTAGAGCTTATGAGAAAACATAGCATTTTGTCAATAACTAATTAATTTACGATGATCGATACAATCCTAGGATTGTGAACCTAGGTTCACCTGATGAAATATTTAGCACACCACATGTTTTGGCCTATTCAATTTCCGCACAATAAAAGATTATAAAACATATTTTTGTAAATGTATTATTTACCAAACTCTAATTGTATAACTTTTTTGTTGTCATTTTTATCACGAATATTCTAACAGAACGCACGCATGGCTATCTATGCATAACGTCAATAACACTACCGATAATTATGATCGATAAATCATAACATTATAATCTACTATAATTAATCATAACATTATAATAACGTAGCTGGAAAATTGTGAGTTAACGTTATTTATAATAATCTGGAAAATGTATAACTAATTAAATATGACGGTCTTGACATTTAATGGCTACTAAACGCCATAGATTTACGTTATATTAGCTTTCCGCCACCGACTTCGACCACGTGCTCCTGTATTATACCTATACATTTACATATAAAAACCTTTTGAATCACCCTATCTATTAAAAAAAAACGCATCACAATCCGTTGCGTAGTTTTAAAGATCTAAGAATACACAGGGACAAACAGACGAAATGCGACTTTGTTTTATAATATGTATTGATCTAAAAAATGAATTATAGTAGTGTCTGGTGAAAAATCTATCCAGGGCAAATTGTGGGAATGTATAAGTGCGTCATGGCGAGACAGCAAGCCCACATAGCGCCCACACGGCGAAAATTTCTGATTCACCGACACCGTCTACATTAAAACTTGTCTCGATTAAATACAAAAGTTGTAAATAAAAAGCTCTAAAAATTTCTACATTCAATTACATTTAACTTGTCGTTAATATAAAAATATTATAGGTAATAAAAATATAAGTTTTTAAACTTTCGCGTTGCATTATATTAGATTGTATCAGACGGGTATTGACGCGATAGATTTTGATAGTTACGTTGTAGATCCGGGCCTGACAATAGTATATTTATTTGATTACATGTCACTTACGGAAGAAGTTTGATTTAAAATTAGAATTTTTAGTTAATTTAGAGACTGCTACAACAACATTAGAACCAATGGCAACCCTGTAAGTACCGTAGTTATTGTTTAGCACGGAAGGAGTAGTCTTACGATAGATCAAAATGATAAATTGTGGGTGGTAGTCTCGTAGTCTTATTAAACTACACGGCAACGTAATCATTAATGATGATAATATTATTTAAAATAAAACATAGTGAGATACTGTTAACAAAAGTTTCACTAGTACCAATGTATAATAATTAATTACGAGTATAACGTTAACCTACTACTAAACTGGTTTATATTTCAATGAGTAGAAAAGTTAATAGCTTATAAAAAATAGTAAATTACTGCGATTTTTATATAAAAAAAACTACTGGAAATAAATCAATGTACACAAACTAAGCGACCGCTTTAAGTTTTAGACTTCAATCTCTTCTGGTTACTTAACTCATGAGTGGACACCTATTTAGCAAAGATCGTTGGCAGACTGGTTTAATTTGTTCCCGAAATAATTAATTTCTTCAAGCCTATTTCTAAACTCATATAAAAACCGTTTCATATAAAATAAATTACCTTGATGTTTTTGTAGAGCCTATATAAAATTCTTAACGCCTAACTCTCTGTCTCTCTATAACTCTAGCTATAACTATAATAATGTTTTATCAATTAAATTAAATAATCATTTATAATTTCTTTTTTCATTATTAAGATACGTATATATTTAATAAAATGAAATAGTTAAATAGCCCAACTCAAGCCATGGGACATCTAAGCAATAATGGCGGTTTCGTCTTATTTTAATACTTAGTCAAATCTTTTGTTGGAATTGCGGTGGTTTAATAACAGAGTTGGTAACACTGTTGTCAAATCGGTAATCATCATTCTTTATCATTCGTTCATTCTTGTTAAGTACATGTGAAAGTAATAAAATGACACGAAGTAATGCCATTTCATCGCTAATATGTCGTATATTATTGCTAAAGTGATAGGCGGTCGTACCCCAGAACGTTAAGCTTTAATTATAATTAAACTTTTTATTTTATTCAAAGATAGTGAGTAATTGTTTTTAAATCAACATGTATGTACGGTAATGCCAGTGGCCGGTAGAATTCACGACAAATCGTGATACAATGGTTTGAGCCGTTCGCGTATCTCTGCTAATGGGCCGAGAGTCCCACGCTCTCTGCATTAGCACTTGCGTATGTAATAACAATTATATTACATGTATATTAGAAAAAGGTTATATGCCTAAAGAGTGTGGATATGAGGCCGAAGGAAAATTAGATAAATGGTGAAAGAAAAACGTATGACCAAATTTTGAGTTTGGATGACGTGATCAAGAAAATTTAAATAAAAATGTAGTAAAAAAGACGGCATCTCAAAAAGTATCTATATAATATGGGTTATACGTTATGTGTCTATTAATGTGATCATATTTTATATGAAATTACTATCAAAACGGTAATAGAGTAAATAACAAATGTATAATATGCACAATTATTCTTTGTGCCGTATGTTGTTTTTCATGTTCATTTATCAATTAAAAAGAGTGAATTACATATTAAAAATTAATGTTAAAATTTTAAACTAGCTTAATATCATTTATTAATAATATAATCAATATGAATTCTTATCCCACTTGAATGAAATTTCTCAATACGTAAATTTTAAATTCCAATAATATTAACAAAATAATAGATTTCATTTCCATTCTAAAAGTAAAAAATATTATTTAATGACTAATTTGATGTTTTTTTAAAAATATTTAGTAGCAATAGCGTTAAAAAACTTTTCAGAAACCTCGTTGATGTCTTTCATTCAGATATTAAAAATAAGCTTGATTATAATTTATGTCCTCCAAAATAGTATACATATATTTATTCCACAAATTCGATAATATCACAAATTAATTGCTTACCCTTCTATTATCTCCAGCCTTCTTCGTTTCAGGTTGCCCGGTAGAAGTCATGTTGTTCACCACCACTGTGTTAGTAGCGCCCTGGGGGCCAGCTGTACCAGTCACCATAGTTTCCGTTTGCACTATCACTGAGAAAAGTCACTGCATGTCGCGATGTAGTTAATATATCCCGAACGTGACGTGCGTCACATCGACGTGCCGGCGCGCGACTGAACGACAGTGCAGCGGACGATGAGGAGCCGGCAGCATCACTCGGGCGCGTGGTTGAAACGCGGGCGAGCCACGCGACCGCTGCACGCACCGCTCTCGCGTGCCAGCGGTATTAGGCAGCCTACTCACTACTTCCCTTTTCTACTTTATGCGCTTTAAACTCTTTTATTAATTACCTATTCAAAAAATAACTAAATTATTTTTTTCTTTACAGAATATCAAACTCTTGTTATATGTATTTCTTCTTATGTCGAATACACATACATCAGAGATCTTGCTTATAGAATAAAAAAATATATCAAATTCAACAGCGTTGGGTAATTAATTATGCAGTGTCATATAGAAATATCTTTGATCTTTGCAAAGACAATTTGATTATTTTTATTACAGATGCCTTATTGTTACCTTCTGGCTCCCAACATCCCCAAAAACTTCTCAGATATCACATAAAAAGTCGAAAAGTCGCTTAGATTAATAATTACGAAACACTTTAGCATTACAAAAATCAAAAAAAAAAAATCTCACAACTGTTTATTTTATAAACCTATGTGTAACTTTTTTAATTCATTTATTTATTGATTTTAAAAAAATGATCTATAGGTACAAATTCCTTAACAATTTGAGTATCATATCATATTTCAAATTGAATGAATGAATCCTAAAATATCGTATCGTCAATATATTCAATAATCGATATTGGCTTAATTGCAACTTGTAGTTCATAAAATATAGTCTCTGTCACATGTCTATACTATGTACTGAACAAACTCATTGTATCATGTTATGTAAAATATAAGTAAAACGTTATTCAGGGCGTGTTATATTATCATTATTAATCACACTAAACAATTTAATAAATAAAACATATACAATATTCTTAACGAATTATCTAGAGCGATGGATTGATTCTACGTCGCGCTTATTTTAAGACCGACTCTTGAACTATGACTCCTAAGTCTTAGCTTTTATCAATGTTAAAATCCATACTTTCCGTACTATATTTATAAATGCGAACCTAACTCTGTTTTTGTGTCTGTTACGTTTTCACGCTTAAAACACTCAACTAATTATAATTTTAGTAAGTAATCATATTATTTTTTTGTCATCAATCCCGTGACCGACCCTTGCGAAAATTACTTAACAACAGCGATCGTGAGCTGTGGCGCTTATTCACTATGCCACCGAGCTACTTCTACAAAAAGTAAGACAATAGGGATGATGACTAATTTTTGATTGTTTGTCCGTCAGGTAGAGTGTTAAAAAATATTAAACACGTATTTTTTAATTTTTTTCGTAATCATAAAATAACGGCGTTACATTGAGTTGAAATTTCGCATGACGTCAAGTCAGAGTACGTTTTCTACTCAACTGTGACGTAGCGAGCCCCCACTCCTCAACTTTAATGCATGTTATCTAAGCTATTTCTTGTTAAATTGTAATAAAAAAAAATACGTATCTAATATTTTTCTATTATCTGACTGACGGACTAAATAGAATTGCATTTTTTTACCAAATCATCATCCCTATAACATATTCAAATAATTAACAGTGTGATATTAGACCGCAGCGCCTCTCTTTCTACATAATATATTGACAGCGCCTTTAAATTAGTTCATGTCTACCGCTCGCGAGATCAAAGTGCCGACACCGTCACTATGACCACTACCTCGAAAACGGCTAGTAAATATAAAGGAAACTAGGGCTTGCGCTAGACACTACAACGCAGATTTTCATGTAAAAAAAGTATATTTAATTTCGTTATTATAGTAAATTATAGTAAATGAATGAATAAATACTTTATTGCACATACACCATAATTAATTAACATGACAAATTGATTTAGTGTAGTATTACAATCGGCGGCTTTATAAATATAAAGTTTCTTTAAATAGACCGCAGGTTACACACATGTTCTACACTATTAATGAATTGTTTGTTACATTATTATAATGTAATAAACTTTTTCAGTCATGGCTCTTAGTATTTCAACGTTATTTCTCCACGCTGAGCTCCAGCGACAAATATTTAATAAGTCACTAAGAACTCCGCGTTATTAGCGGCATATGAATATGCAATCAGCGGACCACCCGGCTCCACGCGTCAGGTCTTTATTCAAATGCTCTATTGTGAAACGCCGACTGCAACTAATTACAGACGCTTTTAACAGGCTTCTCAGGAACAATACTTACCTACTAAACTCGCCGCATACCAACCTTAACAATATACTTCATGCCTGTCGAAAAGTACGTCAATGCGTGGGCAAACTGACATTCATGAATATTCTACGGCGACGTCGATAACTTTTTACTAGTAAACATTTTATATTTCGGAATGTTTACGGCGTACACCGTAGTATTACGGTGTCACTTGGAAAGTGTTAAGTCGGTACGGTAGTCAATACATATATGAATGGTTCGCCTTTACAATATACTTATGATATTTATCCTATGTTTTTGAGGATATAACAAATTGAATAAACCCAACTATTATTATGGAAGTAAATAGAGGAAAAAATAATTTTAAAAATAAAATACCTATTAATTTGAAAGAGTGTTTTAATTTTTAATTGAACGTCTTTTAGAATCGTTAAACTTTTACGAGTATATATTCAAAACTACTATACCGATTTTGAAAAAACTGGTGCTGTTCCCTTGAATTTGAAAGCAATTTTATGAAAACAAAAATAATTATTCGATGTCCAATTCACGAACACGAAATTACATTACATTCATACTCTTACAAAATATATAGAACATGTATTTTAATGCCCATATAAGCTACCATATATGAAAGAATATTGCACCATTCCCACGCCATACAACTCAAATTGATAACCTACTTTTTTAAAGTCGGTAAAAAGTGTAATTTTCTTCTCTTAGATAAATTAAATATTTTAACATATTATATGAGAACATAATAATTTCAAAAAACTCTCGTTCACATCATAAGCAAGCAACGTTCCATCCATCTCCAATTATTAAACAACACAATATTGAAATACAGTTACAAATACAAAATAAATACAGTTTTTATAAAAAAAAATATGTCTGTTACAATTACTGTATTTGATTTGAAAAGAAACCGTTATTAAGTTATTATATTATGGATCCTTGCGGACGTTTTTTTGATAATACACAAACAAAAGATTGCTCTATTTTACTTATTTTTATGGCTTAAATGTAAAGCACAACTGGGAAAAAAAAATCAATGAGTAAGTTGTATTCTTTTTGTGTAGAGTAATTCTGCCCTTGTTTTTTTACCTCGTAACACCGTTGTCTTTTTTATAGTAGTCCTACTATAAAAAAGTTAAAATTGTAACAGTTCCTATACAATTTTTGCATTCGCATATTTCATTTGTTTCAGGTTAGGTAGAGGCCTCGCAGAGAATGGTTTGTCAGGCCAACACACCGAAGGTCGGAGCGTGTAAGTGTGTGTCGGAGCGTCTGTCCCGGTGTCCCCGAAGGTAATCCATACAAAAGATATTTAACCTCCGAATATGCTAACCACTGCGCCATCGACCTTGATCTCGTACAGGGGCAAAATTGCCCAAGAAGGCCGGCTAAAGAGCGGCAGAAGCCATGCTTTATTTTTTTTTTGTAAGTATTTTCTTTCATTATCACCATTCTTAGTCCATATGTTTACACAGTCTTTTCAATATACGCGGTTTCTAGATACTTATAGTAGAAATATTCTTAACTATTTTCCATTAGTTCATTGGGCGGCAATTCTAACTGGCGCAAAAATCTCAAGTACGCTCTTTCGTCATTGCCTTTAATTATATCTCTCTCATTCTATACTTAATCTAGATATGTAGAGAAAATGACTGAGAATCTCTTTTACTAGGACAATATAAAAAAAAAAAAATCTCTAAATAAAGTTAGCTTGTCAATAGATATGACATTTTAAAGGGCAACAACAGTATTTGTTTTGTTTGCGGTTCGAAGAAGTTTCCTAGAAGGGTTTTGTGCTAAACCATTATGTTGTGTTTTATTACTACCGAAACCAACAGCTATTCAGTTCGCCGCATAATTATTTTTAAAACGAAATTCTATCCTTATAAACAGTAATATATAACCGTAAAGAGTACGTACCTATATTACTAAAATAATTTATATGTGCAGTACGAGATAGTAATAATCATGTTGTTTAGCTATATTTTGAAGGTACATTACATTACAATAACAAAAAATATTAAAAAATAATTTAACTGACTGCAAAACGTGAAAAATAATACAACTTAGTAAAAACCTACACAAAATCATTGTCCTAGATCAATAGAATTTTTCATGAACATTAAACTGCCGCTTAATGATTCCTAACCTTCGTTTTTGCTATGCAATACTTTACATACTAAACAATTTGTAGGTGAGTGCTTATGCCACATCCGCACATTTGCTAAATCTCGACAAGCCATCACTAAATCAGACGTGTAGACGATGATTGACTTGGTTTGAGTAGTTTTGCTAACGCTTGTGGTCGATCCGATTGATGTGGGTTATTATGAAAAATTAAAGGGACTTTGCCCCAAGCAGCGCTTTCGACGCGTTCACATGTTTGCGTATTTGTAAAGTTTTGTAGATTGCGGCAAACGGCAAGCGTGGGGACGCATAATAAAATAACACATGTTTAATTTTTGGTCATAACTACTATTTACACACGCCGGCACGTCACGTTACAACAACATGTCACGTTTATGTATTGGATTTTGACCTATACCATCAATATTTTAAGGTTTAAAATGGAGTGGGGAAATTTGTCAGTTTCTTTAATCAGACGTGCAGTTAACTTCGACGTAAACTTTGAAAAATTAGACCGTTTTTTGCTTTTATTTTTCATGATATATTCACATGGCCGCGTCGCTAGATGCAATATTGTGCAAGTAGATATAATGCAAAATCGGTGTAATAGAATATCAATTAGTAACACAGTAATCAATTTATAAGCTTAAGATTAATGAAGGTTACAAAAATTAAATGTAAATCGGAATAAAAAATATGAAAATAAATCGGATAATCAGATAAACATCTACATTTGTTTGAATTCCTAACAATCTAACCAGATAACGGCATCTACCTATTACCTACTAATACAATACAGTCAACATCTTTACAAAGGATGACCACTACCAATAACTTTACCACAATAAAAAAAAAGTTTTAAAATTTCATAAAACACATAAAACCTTCTCCGAGGTTGTAAACATTTTTGAATACATAAAAGAGTTTAATACAATGGCGCACCTCTGTTATTAGCAAACCCTTGCAGTTACAGCGTTTAACAAAAGTATTTTCGCCGGTCCGTATTTGCTAACCAATGATTGTCCTTTTGTCAGTTTGTAATGTTTAACCCGTCGATTTGAGTGAAGGTCGACTGGCCCTGGAGAATTGGTCGAACTGTGATAAAAATTAAGAAAAAAACATGGTGAAAAAAAATTACCGCCAAAGGCATAGCGCGAACAACCAACAATCAATGCCAACGGCCAACTTTTATGGCAGGCGGTTGTTTTACATTTGTGTGTTGTAAAACTGATATTTGCGTTTGGCTTGCACCAAAGAAAATAACGGTTCATAAATAATTATTTGTATTTATACGTTACCCAACAAGACGTAAGTTGATTTAAGAAGCGCACATTAATGCATACCTAAGAATATCTTTTAGAGAAGTACTTTACATAAAACTACTACGTTGTATAATGTCTGTGATAAAATAGATAATTAATTTACCATCAAACCACGCCATAATATACATTATCCATTAATCGAATCTCCCAACACTTTGAATACAATGAATACTTTATTAGCAATAATGCCACCTCTATATGTTTGAGGTTTTTTAGTCTTGGTAATGTTTCTTACATTTGTGCAATAAAG